AGTCTCACTTCAGACTTTCAGCTAAATGGCAGGTGAGGATCTTAGCTACTGTGTTCTCCACCTGTAGCCAATAGCAAGAGATGCAGGGGCAAATCATATCTCATGTGGGCTACCTCAGGTGGGCTAAACAATGCTCTTATTCCTTCATTTATCTGAAATCAGAGACTAACCCAAACTAATTCAAGTGTGCAGGGTCAATGTCTAAAATTGCAGTTTCACACCAGTCACATAAATGCATCCTTGTCCTTCAATCAGAGAGGTGTGTTTGAAATGCACCATCACCTGTTCCTGGAAACTGGGAGAATACATTCAGGGTTGTTCAGCCCGGGGAAGAGAAGGCTTCGGGGACACCTTATTGAGGACTTCCAGTGTCTGAAGTGGGTCTACAAGAAAGCTGGGGAGTGGCTTTTTATGAGGGCTTGTAGTGATAGGACAAGGCATAATGGTTTCAAACTGGGAGAGCACAGATTTAAATTAGATGTAGGGAAGAAGTTCTTCACTATGAGGGTGATGAGACACTGAAACAGTTTGCCCAGAGAAGTGGATGCTCCATCACTGGAGGTGTTCAAGACCTGGGTTGGATGGGGCTTTGGGCAACCTGGTCTAGTGGGAGGTGTCCCTGCCCATGGCAGGAGGTTGGAATTACGTGATCTTTAAGGTCCCTATCCAACCTAAACCATTCTATGATTCTATGATTTTTCAGGTTTCTTTCATAGCAAGCTGCAGGTTTATGTATATGGGGCTCATCTATTTGTACCTCTGCCTTTCAACAGAGAAGGTGTTGCTTAAATAGATGTTTGTGAGTGTGTGAGTACTGTTTTCATTGCTGTTCTGTTTCCTGCCTGCTTCCTTTTTGTGGATGAGGATCATTAACTAGGCTAAAGAAGAGAGAAAATTCACAACCTTGGTTGCAGTGTACCTGACCAGCTGGTAGCTTCCATGCCATCCTCTCTCTACACTGGGGATACATTCTCAGATTTGGAGCTGGAAATAAGAGAGCATCATTGACCAAATGTACCAGGCAGCAGGGTCCTGACATTGTGTTAACAACACACACTGTGGCTTTCTTCAACCATGAAAGAGCAAAGGTGAATTCTTGGTCCCATGTAAATCAATGACAATGTGTGTATATATAAAAATGTCACGCCTTTCTAAAAGGAAGAAGTACATAAAAAGCACTCATCTGCTTAAAAAGTGGCTGATATTAAAACATGAGTTCACATTATAGTGAAGGAAATAACAATGAAACAGGACATGAGCAAATCACACTATAAGCCAGTAAAAATTTATGTGGAACAAGGCCATTGGAAAAGAACTTGACTAGTTTTTTTTATCTTTTAAATTTGAAATAAAAATTAACCTAAAATAAAGCTCTTCAGAGTTTCAAAAATTTCCATGTTGATTTTAAAACAAATTAATGTGGTTCAAAAAGGGAGACTTCTATTTTCAAAATTGCAAGATGACAGGCTTTGATTTTTTTTTCTTCAATTTGAACAAGCCCAACTTCCCATTCACAAAAAGTATAAAATGTATTTCCTTAAAAATGAAAATAAATTTTTCTAGCTGTATATAAATGAATAGGAAAAAAGGGTCAAATAGAAAAAAAATGGTCAAAGAAAATTGGTGTTATTTTGATTTTATGTCTAAATGCTGAGTGGGGAAATGATTGGGTGCTTAAAAAAATACCTTCACAATAGAAAAATGATTAGGAATCAGGTACTGGAACCAAGATTGTTTAGGGACAGACTAAAGCTGGGCTCTACTAAAAGTGTATGCATTTAAGTCTGTAAAAATAGCTAGAATGTCAGAAGTTGTTTCAAAATAACTGAAGCTGTTGAAGTGCCTACTCGTCTGGGTAGGTTGTTACTGTCTTGAAATGCCTCCCTGTGAAGGGCATAAGCAGACTGCACATCCCTGCCATCCCTTGTAATCAGTATGCCAAGACTGAGCTTCTGTGAAGTGCTGTGCTCCTAAAAACACTTGATTCCAACAATTTGAAGACATTCAAATATCTCTGAGGAGACGTGTAGGCAAATGAGAAAATAATTTCTATGTACAATAGAATCGTAGAATAGAATCATAAGTTCATTCTGGTTGGAAGAGACCTTTCAGATCATTGAGTCCAGCTATTAACCCACCACTGCAAGGTCACCAATGAACAATATCCCTTGGTGCCACATCTACACACTTTACAAATACCTCCAGGGACGGTGACTCCACCAGTTCCCTGGACATCTTGTTTCAACGCTTTATAACCTTTTCTGTGAAGAATTTTTCCTAATATCCAGTTTAAACTTCCTTTGGTGCAATTTGAGGCCTTTTGTCTCTTGTCTTATCACTTGCTACTTGGGAGAAGAGACCAAACCCCACCTGGCTTCAGCCTCCTTTCAGGTAGTTGTAGAGAGCAAGGTTTCCCCTCAGTCTCCTTTTTTCCAGGCTAAATAACCTCAGTTCCCTCAGGCACTCCTCATAAGATTTCTGCCCTAGACCCTTCACCAGCTTTGTTGCCCTTCTCTGGACATGCCCCCGCACCTCAATGTCCTTGTAGTGAGGGGCCCCAAACTGAACACAATATTCAAGGTACAACCTCACCAGTGCCAAGTAGAGGGGAATGATCACTTCCCTAGGTCTGCTGCCTGCACCGTTTCTGATACAAGCCAGGATGCTGTTGGCCTTCTTGGCCACCTGGGCACACTGATGGCTCATATTCAGCTGACTGTTGACCAACACTCCCAGGTCCTTTTCCAGCAGGCAGCTTTTCAGCCACTCTTCCCCAAGCCTATAGCATTGTGTGGGCTTGTTGTGATTAAAGGGCAGGACCTGGCACTTGGCCATGTCGACCCTTATCCCATTGGCCTCAGCCCACTGATCCAGCCTGTCCAGGTCCCTCTTGGTGTCATCTGTAAACTTTCTGAGGGTGCCTTTGATCCCCTCATCCAGATCGTAGATACAGATACTAAAGAGAACTGGCCTCAGCACTAAGCCCTGGGGAACACCACTTGTGACTGGCCACCAGCTGGGTTTACTGCTGCTGAAGTGCTGTGTGGAAGGGGAGAAGAAATGATAGTTCTTATTTTCCATAGGTCTAAAGTCTAGAAGGCTGTTCCACTCTGTCTTGTGCTGCTTGTGAAACTAATAAATAAATAAAATGCAATTACAGCATGACAGATGATATTTATACATTGCCCATGCATCTGTGTATGTCATGGTATCTGACTGTCCTTACTGATGCAGCAGTCTTTAGGAGGACACTAAATGGGATGACAAACACAAATTGCTCAGGCCAGGCATGTGGTTCCAGCTGCCTTGCATGTAACACTCAGATGAGGGTTCTGAAGCACCTTTTCACATTTGTAAGTGCATCTACATTACCAGGATGTGTCCAAGATCCTGGGGCCTCCTGGATTCCCTCCTGAGAGATGAGTTAAGATGCAGCAAATGACCAGTTCCATCTGGCCCTTTTTGATTTCCATGGTAAAGAAATCCAGTTATATGAGCTGCAGGAATCCCTGATGTGCTCTGAACAGGTCGTCTAGTCAGACAACAGGGTGTGAGGACACCAGGGGTCCTGTGGAGCTCTGTACCATGTGCTGGGAGATATGTCTACAAGTACCAAGGAAATGGAGTAGTTGGCTACACCAGCCATACCCCACTGTGAGCAAGAGAAGCATTAGGGATGTGGTCAATAGCATTTAGAGATGGCCTGAATCAAATGCTGGGAAGAACTCTAAAGGAGAGAAAAGTTCAAGCTCCAGTCTGACAGTTTCACATAGTTTCCAGTGTTATTAGTGTTGTATTACTGAGGGTCTCTTGGGACTGTGCATGTTGTGCCATACACGTATTTATCCTCCAATTCCTCTTGGAGCTAGTTCTCATAAAAAGCACAGCATGATGTTTCCTTACTATCATCTTGGTCAGCTGAGAATATCAGTTTAATAATACATAAAAATGCAAGCTCAACCCAGATTCTTCAGAAGCTAAACACATAACAACAAAAAGACACTATGCTCTACACTTTACTTGTTTCTTCTGTAGGTCTTTAGCATTGCTACGGTGTAATATTAATAATAAACCTAAGCTCAGCCATATGTGATGACAAAAACACAGCTGCCATGTGCTGCACAGCCAGTTCCCATGGTTTGCCCATATCATTGCCAGATCATCTACTCTCTCTCCTCAAGTCTCCTGCACATGTTTAATTTAGTCTGTTTATACCTTATCATCAAACCTGAAGTTCTGTAACATAACTAAATGCACTATCTCACATATTTAAATATTTTATACTGATCTGGTTTTATGGCAGGGATTACTGCTTTAATATTGGGATTGCCAATGGGCCAGCTATCATGTAAATTCATAACAAAATGAGAAAGTGAAGGCCAAGACTTAGCATGGGCATAGCAGGCAGTTGCCTAGTGTAGCAGGTGGTGAAATGACCACTGGCCTCCAAACATGCCCAGCTGGAGCCAAACTGGCTGTGAACAAAATGGAAGTTGGTGTGTGGGGGTTTAAAGGATGGAGGGTAACATTTCCAAGATCAGCTGTTACCACCTCCACCTCTTCCTTCTGCTGGAAACAGGAGAAGCATCAAGCTGTTTATTTAGGGTTCTCACCAAGCTCCCTGTCCTTCTTTCTCCCGCCTTGTGACAAGAATGGCCTTGCCTAGGTACTGTCTTGGTCTGAATTGTGATAGTAGGTATTACTGGGAATTCAGCTGGCTCTTATTATGACTGACAAACATTTCATTAATTACAGTGGAATTCTGTATTCACCAAAAGAGAATTTATTACCTGTAAAGTTTACTTTCAGGAGATAATCTTTGTACAGCTTCCTGCCATCCAGGTGCTTCATGGCGTCACAGAGTTTGGTAGTGTTTGGACACAGAGTCCTCTGCATTTTATGCAAGGCATGGGCCATCGCATACACAGCGTTCACAACAAACATGATCTTGGATTCTTGCTCGTAGTTGGAACTGTTGATGGTGAAGTGCTTATCACAAGCCTTTTTATGTGGTTTTCGGTTCTGGAGATTACACTGGAATTTTTGCTCCCAGAAGTCCTTGAACCAGGGGTTACGTCTGTTATTGTAAGGGCTGAGGCTTTGGAAATACTTGTCAAACTCCTTAACAGGATGGGAAGCGAGTTCCAAGGTTATTGCCCCAGAGGCTATGTGCTCATTGCCCTTGACGATGCTCTCTTGCGCTCCCCATCCGTCGCTGGCGATCCAGGTAAAGGAGACGTTGAAGCGGTTGGCAGCGGCAATGAGCTCGCGCGAGTCGTCGCCTCGCATGAAGAGCACCACCACTCTGGCGTTGGGCTTCTGGAGCAGCTCTCTGATCACACCGTCGTAGGACTTCCTGATGTTGGAGCGGCCCACTTTCTCGGAGGTGGCGATGCAGATGTTGCGGAGGCGAGCCTCCTGCTCGAAGGCTTCGATCCCCGTCTCCCCGTAGTCTCCTTCGGAAGCCACGGTGGACACGTAAGTCCAGTTGAAGTACCGCAGGATTTCAGCCATGGCTTTCGCCTGGTAGAAGTCGGGGGGCACCGTCCGCGCAAAGTAGTCGTAGCGGGACTTGTCGCTCAGCTTGGCGCTGGTGGAAGCGTAGCTTATCTGGGGGATCTGGAAGAGCCTCAGCAAATTGGCCACCTAGAGGGAAGACGGGGAAAACAGATTTTTAAAGGGTGCTATTTATGAAACTGGACAGGGAAATCTAGAGAAAGCCATAAATGTTGTTTTTTAATAAGAAATATTGTGACAGTCACAGGTTAAGGGGTAGAGGGTGGTAGAAGTTAACAGAGGATGTTGGTAACATCCTCTGGTGAGAGCAGCACACTGTCCATATGCAGAATGGCTGTTCTGCTGCCCTGTTAATGCCTAGGGTCCTACAGGGACTATAATGAACTTTTTATTCCTGCCAAACTGAGTGGGTTTAAACCAACAGAGAAATTTGACACAAGTGGACAATGTACTTCAGGCTCAGTCTGTGCTCTTTACTAAAGGCTGGAGACTTCCATGTCTTTCCTGTTTGTAGTGAGATTCAGCTTCTCCAAGACTTGTATTCGACAACCAAACGTACTAATAAGACATAAGTTTCTCCATTATGCAAATATCACAGGTATACATGTACAGGACTTTCACAGAACTTTCTGACCCCACTTATTCAAGCTCTGAGTTCTCACCTGTTTTTTTACTCTTTTAAACTCATTTTTCTGAGCTGTTCTGACTGCAGTCCTCCTGAGATGGCGTATTTGTTGCATGTTAGTACTCTTTAAGAGCTGCACAATGTCATGTTAACCTTTTCATAAATTATGAAAACTTTTAATAATTTCTAACTTCCTTCTTGCATAGCTTATATTATCCAAAGTCCTGGCTTTCTTTCTTTCTTTTTTTTTTTAATACATTACTATGTCCCTTGCTTAAATATTCTCAAATTTACCTTGTTACTCTCACAGAAGGGTAGCTCCTGATAATATATGGAAAGAAAGGTTATAGCTTTTTTTTTTTTTTTTTTTTTTTTCCCCTGTGATTGCTTCTTAAATGACAAAGGGAGGACTGGAGTTCTGCTCTTGGTGAGTGGAAGTTGTGTCCAGTAAATTAAATTTAAAACAGATCTTGGAATACAGCCTGACAAAATGATCTGAAAACCAATAGTGCACTTGAGATTCCTAAGGGAAACTCATTAAAAATTACCCAATCAAATAATTTTTCACAATTCCCTTAAATGTTTCTCTGACCACAGACTACGTCTCTGAGAATTCAAGGGCAAAGGACTGCTTGGAAAAAAATTGTGGAACACTATAAATTTTAAAGGCTCAGATGTCAATAGCAAAATAGTCTGATAAAAGCAGCCAAAATAATTTTCTTTCTTTTTAGCAATCTTTATCTCTTGGGATTATAGAAATGTAGATCCTGTCTTTTCTTTAATGAAGATACTGGACCAGTGTCTCTCTGTGGCTCACCCCCTACTGTAAGCTGGTGCAATAACTTGTCTGGGCCATGCTGCTTCCTAGCCATGTATGGAGAGTGTCTTTCACAACCACCTGAGCTATCTGAAACAGGGGACTTAAGGATACCCACATCCTACTGTCCTTCTGGAGCACCAGGGAAGAGCAGGTGGGATGCCCTGGCAGTTGGGATGTCTCTAGGTGTCTGTATCTGGGGAGCTGAAGCATGTCTTCGTAAAATAAGCCACTGGCAGCTTATTTTATTTTAAACCAAAAGAAAGCATCTTCTGCACTCCTTGGAAGAAATATCCTGACATGGAGCTTTGGCCAATTTGCTGTGGTTTTGCTTATAGGTGTAGGCATGTGACTGGGAAGTGCTGTGGCTGGACAAGTTACTGTCCCTCAGGAAAAGGCTGATGTGTCCTTAACCACCCTGCGAGGTGGCAACATGCATTGAACTGCCTTATACTGGAAACGTTGGATTTCATTTTCACTGTGGTGATTTAAACAAACGGCTTTAAAGCAATAGAGTGGGCCAAGAGGTTTGTTTTGTCATCAAGGTGCAATAGGTGCTTTGAAGATTTGCAGGCCTCTGTGGCTTTGGAACTTTTGATTACATGCCCACATATCCACATGGTTTGGTTCACATGTCCTTGCTCAAAAAGAGCATTTTCATTTGGAAAGAAGAATGTCCTCTCTGTAGCTATTCCGGAACATTTCTTGTAGAACCGTGTGGGCTGGAATTGCTATTCTTGTCTCAGTTTATTCTAGCAGAAATTATTTGAGGTAAATCATAATAAGGATATGCACATGTATTATTCTGCATTATTCCCCCTGCAAACTGACTAGAAAAGAAATCCATTTTCTAGCTAAAGCAGTGCTATTCAGCGTGTAGCCATGCCCCCAGCTCACAGAAAGACACTCCTAACAAATATAACAGCCTTTCTAATATTTCTTTTGGTCTAAGTAGCAAAAGTAATCCATATGCAGGGAAATAGAACTACACACCCTTTTTATAGGAGGCCCTGAGCCTTGGAGATCACTATACTCCTAGTGTCCCTGCAAACTGCCTGCAGTTCTGCTTCCTGTGCAATGGGGAGGAGAAAGCTCTCCTGTGGCAATGCTCTTTGTGTAGTGTTCTTCCTGCCTCCAGGTAGCAGGTTTTTCATAGATGAAAAATATAAAAATATAAGAAAGTTTGATTAATCATAGAGGATAGAGGTAGAAGCCCCATCCCCGCAAACATTCCAGGTCAGGTTGGATGGGCCTCTGAACAACCTGGCCTAGTTGAAGATGTCTCTTCTCACTGCAAGGAGTTGGACTAAGATAACCTTTAAAGGTCACTTCCAATCCAAACCATTCTATAGTTCTATGATTCTATGATAGTGACCCAATCATCCCTGTAAGCTGCAACTGATCATGGAGCTCTGTGGAGTTGTATCTGTTATTAATTCAGATCAGGACACTCTTCTGGAAATTCTGAAGTTGGTGATTTTCTGGAATACTGTAACACCTTGATTTTAGGGACTAATTCTCCAAAAGACCTCAGGTCTCAGGTACTTACCCAGTTTCAAAATGGACCCTTTTCCCTGCCATTTCCATGCTGATCTGGACATCTGATTCTGAAAATCAAATCCTGATTAAACAGGCACCAGGATAAGGGCACAGGTAACTGGTTCTGCAGAGGAGCTGGTGTCTAAGGCTATGTCTGTTCCTCAGTGTCTCAGTGTAGTAGAGGACAGTGCAATATGAACCAGAGCTATGTGACCAAGACTGGAGCCCCCGAGGCATACCTACACTGTAGCTCCTTGCTGCCTTGGGATGTGCGCTACATCTTCAAAATTGCATTGTAGATTCAGCTTTTGCTAAGTGAAATAATCTATTTTGGCAAAGCTCCAGGCAGCAATTTAATCGAGCCATGGTGCATGCAATTAGAGCCTGAAATCCATATGTTGGTGCTTAAGTAGCAGTAGTAGCCTGGGCTTTTTGTTGTCTAAACCAGCAGGTTTTGCAGATACTTCATACCTTTGAAAATAAAGCTGAATGTTCTGTATCTGCAACCTAAAATACCCACTTTGCACAGCTTGCTGTGAACAAAATGTGTCAATATAATCAGCTTCCAGTGTGATGGGAAACCTTTATTTGCCTTAATGCTGCTGGGTTTATTAGTACACCCATTGTCCTGTCCTAATGTGCCACTTCCCAAGCAGACCTGACTCGAACCCAGCTGCCAGCAGAGTCAGTGAGTCGTAAGGAGCTGCCCCACATGAGCACTGCAGAAAGTCCAGTGTGAGCCATGTCCATCTGTAGGAACAGATTTCATCAGCAAATCCTACAAAGGGAGTGGCCAGAGCAGTGCCAGAGGAGACTGGTGTCCCTCTCATGGTGCTGGAGCCACAGCTGTTACTTCTGCTTCTCTGTGCCTTGGGGGCAGTATGAATACTTGTGGGAAATGGCCAATCTAGTTTATGAGACTGAAAGTGGCTTCCTAATACTTTTCTGCAAGGAGCAGTGAATTAGGTGCAGCCATCAAACATGTGAATCTGTTTTTCAAGTGCATTTCTGGCCATTCAAGAGTCCTGATGATAGGTGGGCTCAGGTAAGTATGTCTCATCTATGTCTCAAAAACTCATATACGGATTTATTGAATCCCATCAAGCATTTTGCCTCTCCCCAAAAGGACTTTCTTTTCTAACAGCAGGATTTATTCTGATGTTTTTGGTGAAAATTTCCCTTCTTAGCAGCCCAGAGGCTGATACATGGATTGTTTGAATGTGTACAGGGCTGGAGACCACAGGAAATACTGAGGGGAAAAAAAAAATCTCAAAAATGTTAGAACAGAAAAGGTTTCTTCAACACAATACACAAGTGTGTATTACACATTTGTTAGACAGAGGAGGCCACTTGTTACATGGCAGTGCTCTCTGCACTTCTAAAATTTTACCATATGAAAATCTCATGGCAGTTAACACAGCTTAATGAACCTAATTTCACAGAGCTCCTTTGAGACAGGCAAGAGCTCCTGTGGCTGTTTTGAACAGACAGTAAATTAAGCTGCTGAGCAGAATGGAATTGAGGTAAAGGCGGTTTGTCTCTGTTGAGAAACTCTACAGAGAAACCTGTCTCTCTGACTGCAATCTGTCCTAATGAATATTCATTTGCTACCTTTGGTCAACGGAAAATTCATTCTATTCATAAGTTGCTTGTCTAGATTCCCACAGTGAGACTACAGCAAAGCCATGTCCCAATGGTTTTCTAATGTCTAGATCATTGCTATAGCACAGAAGCTGAGATTTCACTTTGAAGAAATGCATGCTGCTGCCAGTGTATGTTGTATCTAATTCCTAAATGATGGCAAACTACAGTGTGGGCTTTTTGTTGTTATTTGGGCAGCTGCAGGTCAAACTGCAGCTGAAGCATTTGCTCTGTTAATTTTTTTTTTTCCTTATTTGTATTTCTCTTTTTCCTTAAATCTAAAAATATTTTAATCAAATGTTAGCAGAAAGTGTCATTTTAGGAAGCAGGAAAGAAACACTGGTTCTGAATGGGCTGGAGTGTGTGCATGTGATAAGTGGTGGTCACAAAGTTAATATAAAGAATAAATCAGGTACTTTCCTCTAGTCAGCTGCCTACACTGGCCTGAACACCCTTCCCATGCTCCCAGCTCCTGGCTTGTGCATTTGAGGTTAGGTTAGAACCTCC